TTAGGGTGATTTTGTATGTCAAAGGCTGTTCAAACCCTCACATTAAGGCCTGAAACCCTATAAAGCTGCAGTGAGGTGACAAGACCTGAGAGCACCAAATACCTGGGAATGCACTCTGTCCTCAGGGAAAAATGGCATAGGGGAGTGGCAGGGGGAGAAAAGTGGGCTTCTAGGTCTTCCTATGTATTCTTTCAGTACAGACGTTTGTAGCTCTGACAAGATGTTTTATTTTCTAGCTTTTAGTTATGTAAAAGATAGGCCAACGCCTGTTTTATCAGGTTCTAAAGTATCAGGAGAAAATCTACATGGACAGCTCAATGGAGAGGCACAGGCAGAGCAAAAAGAAAATATTAGTTTGTGATAGGAAGATGAGGGAGAGAAATGTGGCACCAGTTGAGTATGTTCTGGTTCTCTTCCTGAAATTTAGTGCTAGGTACTACTCACCTACACCTCTTCTTTCTACTAAACCTGGAAACCTGGAAGTTCCATAAAGACTATAAAAGGGCATTCAGAAAGATCAAGGGGATAAATTGAAAGAGGGAAATTTAGATTAGATCTCAGGCAGAAGTTTTCCCTGTGAGGGTGGTGAGACACTGGCCCAGGTTGCCCAGGGAGGCTGTGGCTGCCCCAACCCTGGCAGTGTTCACAGCCAGGTTGGCTGAGCCTTGAGCAACCTGCTCTGGTGGGAGGTGTCCCTGCCCAGGGCAGGGGGTTGGCATTGGATGATCTCTGAGCTCCATTCCAACCCCTTAGCATTCTATGGTACTATGATCATACAACACTTTTTACAATCTATATTTTAAAGAAAAGTTGGCAAGAATAAATACAGTCAATGACTGGTATATAGGAAGCTAATGAAAATCAGTGTAGGGATGAGGACAGGCCATTTCAGAACATCCTGTGTCTTCTTACATCCTAAGACCACCTGTTATTTCAAATTCCAGCTTAATCCTTCTATGAAAAAGCAAGTCTTTATAGCCTTCATATAAAGAACTAATATCCAATTTTGCAAATAACAAGGCTACATAAGTAAAGTCGGTAAGTATGGACTGTTTCCTGCAGATTAACAGAGTAGTAGCTCAAATGCTGAGTTAGGATTTGAAAACATTCTGCTGATCAAGGCCTGCAAGAAAAAGAACAGCTCTTTAAGAACTGCCTCCACAAATCTTTCCAGAACAGTGATTTCAATCCATGTGACCTGGAATTTCTGACACCTAACACTATGATTCTTCAGAATACATTCAGAAACAAAAAAGGGGAAGACGTCAGAGCAAAAGGACACCTGGACTGGAGAGAGCAGCAGCACGAGACAGGAAACACTGTATAATTAAGCCAACAAACAAACAAACCAAAGCCTGACACAACTCAAAGTAGCAATTAAAAGTTGGACTTGCCACCTAAGTGGGCACTCCTGCCACTACACCATTATCATTGAGCTCTTCAGAAACACATGCTGCTGACTGCCATGTGACAGAGTTAATGGCCATACAGACATCTAACTCATACAGGTTTTACTTCCATTACACATTTAGCATCAGTGAAGCAACAATACTAGCAACCAACAAATACATATGTACTGTTAGGCTAATGTGGCAGGCTTTGTTACATCTCTAATGTCATTCTTTTACTTGTGAAGGTGCTTAGCTAATCTAAAAATGAATGACTATATACAACAGTACTTTAGTAATTCCTGTCTTGGGTGAGCAATGGTTTCTATATTGAACAAAGACACAGCACAGCACTATGCTGAAACAGACAAAAATACAGCCCTCAGAGCTTATGGTAACAATAGAAAACATGAGATGCTTACAACGTATGTAAAAAATCCTTTTACATAAGCCCCAAACCATCAGCTAAAAGCAGCTCTGTAAGCAGAACCAGGACTGGAATGTTGCCACTCTCCTCCATACTGTGCAGTGCCCTGAGGACTAAAATTCGCAGATTTAGATTTTTCTCCACTTCCTTTCAGTTGTGCTCAGCATGCTGAGTCAGGCAAGTCAGCTCATTCATAATAATTTGGAAGAAACTCAAACATATACTCACCAAGGAAACAACTAATGTGAAGAGCCAGGCATAGATGAAGAAGTAGTCTCCACCTATTTTAATAATGTAAAGCAGAAGGGATGTCACTGGCAACAGAATACATTGAGTCACGACAAACTTCTTGATAGCATCCTTAAAAAAAAATCCCAGTGTCTGTAAAGAAAGGATAAAGGACATCAGTGATATGTCAATGTAAATATGGATGTGTCACTGTGATTAGTGGAATGATCCCTTCAGATAAGACAAATGGCAAAACAGCAATGCCAATGTGATAGGGAACTGGGAGTCAGCCAAAAAAGGTGATGAACATTTTCACCTCCTCTCCTGGTAGCTCCTTACACCCACATGGAACCAAGACCATGCAGATGCATCTTTCTTAGTAAGGGCTGACCAAACCCTCATCTTGTGTTGCCCATTCATTAAAGGAGAAAGGAAAAATTTAAGCAGATCTGTCCCTTACTTCCTTTACCAAACTATATCCCAGACATCACGGAATTCTTAGAGCATAAGAAATCCTCAAAGAAACACAGCTACTGTGAAATGTTTTCTCTTTGAACAGATGCCTCCATTCTTCTTAACTTTCAGTTCCGCTGCGCTGAATGTCTTAACTGGAAATATCTCCAAGTCCTATTACAGATTTTCAGCAGTACATTGGGTATCCTAGTCCAGGCTTCCAAAGACATACAGTTACTACTCACGTAGCTGTCTCAGGTTTTAAAATTAGTCTAACTTTAACAGAAGCAACAGAAATTTCTAATACCTCCATCTGAATGAATCTGATTCCGTGACTCTGCAACAGGATTAGACACCCATCCAGCTCTAAGAGCCTATTAAGCAAAGATCTTTCCAACAAGGATGTATTAAAGAGCTCATACTACTTTAAAGAACTCATCTGGAAAGAAAAACAGGTCAACTATGATCCATTTATCTCATATTTTCATTTTAAATCTTTATTACCAGCTCCACAGTCTAGGAGTAGAGCTAGAAAATTGCATGGTGTCCTTCATTATTGCCTAATTTCTAAGGCTGATGTGACTTGGAGAGATCCTAATTTTCTGCAAGCCACTCCTGGAGCAGAAAGAGTCTGTCTGAAGATGAGTTGAGAATCTTTGCTAGAAATTCCAGTCTGGCCTCATACCAGGTGTGAATGTGGCTCATTCACTAGGGGACTCAGCCCGTCAGCCTGAAATGAGGGATGGAGATTTGACTGTGTAAGACGTTTGGTACCTCAGCCTGGATTGGATATGGACTCAGCCTTCAGCTCTCGGCATGAGGACCACTGCAGTGAAAAAACCCTTGTAAAAGATGCTGTGCAGGTGGCTCAGTCAACCCCCACAGTCACTCCCATGGGGGTCAGTGCCAAGGCTTCCTTTTCTTGTTTGCTTAGGCACAGTGCTTGCACTGACAACACTGAAGCATTCAGAGAGCACAGCAACAAGGAGAGCATGTTTAGATATACCCAGAATCCTGCTCACCCTCCCTAAAGCACACAAAGAAACCACGTGGATTCTGCAAGCTCTCAAGGCATTTTTAAAGAAGCCCAAGCTGTTAAGTGCAGTGTTTGACTCTCCTCCTGCACAGAGGCAGGGCCTGATCAAGTCTCCATCCATCAGCTACTCTACCAGTTGGCTCTGATTCTACTGACAGTCTTTGGACTTTTGTGTGCTGGACATAAAGGGCTTGCAGATCCTGCACCAAGATGGAACTTACTCCTCACTAAGGCAGGAGAAGCAATGAAGGTGCAGGTCTGATGTGACTGGCCAGGATTGATATGAGAGACAAGAGTGAGAGATGGCTATTAATGTGTGTGTAAGGATCCTGAATGTCAAAAGGATGGCCAGGCTAGGCCAGGGCATAAGCATGCTGCAAGAATTAGGAAATTGCCAGTCCTTGCAATTTTGAAGGACTATAAAACAGAAGTGATAGGCAGAGAACAATCAAAATACATTAAACAGGTATTTCCCCTGAAGAAAAGATTGATTGACTCGTGCTCTGGAAACATGGGGACATTCTTTCCTCCCTTGCTAGGAGCAAGATGTTAGCCTGCCAGTGAGCTCACTGTAAATACGCAGAAGGGAGGGGGATCCCCCAGACTACACCTCAGCAGCACCTGGGACATGAGTGGCTGCGGGCACCGCTGTTCTGAGGGCGAGCATTTCCAGCTGGTGAGAGAAAAAAGGGATTGTCCCAAGTTACACACGGGTTTTTAGAAGCCCAAGAGTTTTTTACAAGACTAGAGAGCTAAATGGAGTATAAAAAGAGTTCTGAGCTGGTCACAAGTTCAAGATTTATGACTAATTAGAACAATCTTCACATCTGTTTCCCAAAGGCTGGAGCAAGAGCTGCCATTGGCCCAGTATCCCAACGTCAGAGGAGGAGGTGACACAGCCAAACCAAGCCTTGCTGTTTTCTAGAAATACACACAGATGCCACTCAGTTTTGTTTCACAAGCTGCAAACTGGATCACTGCATCTAAAGCTTTTTTCCTCACTTATTTTCTTGCTTTACAAAACAGAATAAGAAACATCAGTTTATCAATTTACCAGAAACATAATAAGTTTAGAAACAAACTGATTCCACTTGTTTAGGTCTTGCTCAGTCTTCCTGCCTCCATAGAAACTGCAAGATGGAACTGGCATATACCAGAGCATCTCTACTGACATTAAAATGAGCCAAACAGACTTATTTGCTACCATCCAAATTCCATTCTATTGAAACAAACAACAACTTCCTAGGAGACTTGGAACAGAAATACTGTAGACAATACCAGCTGGGCCCAAAAGCAGAAAACAACTGTTATGCTCTGGCATGAAATGGCTAATGGTGTGTCCCAGGTTGAGGTTCTTCTCTCAATGAAGTGCAAGGTCCTACATCTGGGCCATGGCAATCCCAGCACACCTACAGGTTGGGTGGAGAAGGAATTGAAACCAGCAGTGAGGAGAAAGACTTGGGAGTGACAGTGGATGAGAAGCTCACCATGACCTGCAGTGGAGCAGTCTGGGCTGCACCAAAAGGAGTGTGGAGGTCAAAAGAGGTGATTCTTCCCCTCTACTCTGTTCTCGTAAGATCCCACCTGGAATACAGCATGCAGTTCTGGTGCCCTCAACACAAGAAGGACATGGAACTGTGGGAGCAAGTCCAGAGGAGCTCAGGAAGTTGCTAAGAGTACTGGAGCATCTCCCCTATGAGGACAGGCTGAGGGAGTTAGGGCTGTTCAGCCTGGAGAAGCGAAGACTGTGTGAAGACCTCACAGCAAATTTTCAGTATCAGAAGGGCCTATAAGGGAGGCGGAGAGCGACTGTGTTAGGAACTGCCATGATAGGACAAGGGGTAATGGATTCAAACTGAAGGAGGGGAAGTTTAAGTTAGATATTAGAAAAAAAATTGTTACTGTAAAGATGGTGAGACACTGGCACAGGTTGCCCAGGGAGGCTGTGGCTGCCCTGACCCTGGCAGTGTTGAAGACCAGGCTGGATGAGGCTTTGTGCAACCAGATCTAGTGAGGAGGTGTCCCTGCCCACAGCAAGGAGGGATGGGACTAGATGATCTGTAAGGTCCATTCTAACCCCTAAAATTCTGATTCTATGATTCTATGAAACGAGTATCTGATCTCATGAGAAACTGATACTGACAGGTTAAACTAAGTTGGTGAAAGAAATTAGGGAAGTCAGGGGTGATAATAAGTGAGGATCTAACAGAAGTACAACTGAAGAACTGAATTCTCCAGTTTTGTAAAGGCTAATATAAGAAATCAGTTAAGTGAAAGAAAATGAGGAGGAAACTAATGTATCAGTTTTCTTTCAACTGATCAATGGCCGTAAATCAGGAGTGCCCCTGTCAAGTAGTGAGCCAGACTTCCCAGGAAGGGCATATGAAGGGCAAAAAAACATCCATCAAAAAATGAACAGCTGAGGTATGAAATGTCCTTTGTCCCATGCCCAGCACACACATCTCTGCTCACAGCCTGCTGCAGCACAGGCACTCCCACAACAGCCACAAACTGTCACTACTCTGATTTTTATGCAGTTCAAGTAGAAATGTCCCTAAAACTAATGATCTTTGGCACAGATATGGACAGACCAGTCCATCTAACCACTCTGAAACCATAAGGTCAGCACAAGTGCTCTCTGCAGTACCTGTTGATTGAAGCCATGTTTCTCTTCTATGACAAATGTGTTATATAAGCTCCATGGGAGACCAGTCACTGCACTGAAGAGTGTTGCAAGCAGCAGAAATACCAATGACTGAACAATCTAGAAAAAAAAGCACAAAAAACCCCACCTGATATTTGTTAACCTGTACTAACATAAATATTCTGAGTATTAAAAATGGACTTTAAGTCAGTGGTTGAACCAAAACCAGTTAGAAGACAAAGCTAGATAAATTTACAGAAATAATTTGTTAGTGATGATTAGATTATTGCTCACTAGAAGAGCTTACTAAGGATTTGGGACACAAATTTGGATACATGCCTCGCCCACAGCACAAAGACAACGTAAGCAGTAACCTCAAATTTCTTACCTATTTACTGTGCAGGAAGATCAAATCTAGGACTAGTAAAAAGACAACACCCCCATAAAGAGCTCCCAAAAACCCAAGCTGCCCATACCCTCGTCTGACTTAAAACTTCTAGAGTTGTATGCTTTTAACATAAAAGGCAATTTTAATTAGTATGCTAGTTTAATGGTCACATACTGTCACCAGTTCTCAGACTCACACAATCACTATGTCCATCAGAATCGATTTGTTATTTTTACTGTATCATAGGTTAGCTAAATCCAACTGTAATTAAATGCCAAGTTAAAAGTAAAAATTATCACAATATGGACCAAATGTTTTCATTGAAATCTAAAGCCTTCTTACCTCATATTCTGGTCCGAACCCAGCCTGACCAGAGATCTGACCAGACAGATTCCAGAGGAAAGGAATTCCTCCACAGAGGAGAATCATCTTGAAAACAAAACCACATACCACAGAGGCAGTATGAAACACACTGGCATCTTAGTGTACTAAAATTTCAGCATGATAAGGACCTTTTAAGGGTGAATAAGACAAGTTTCATAATTAGGCTTTTTGTCCCCCCTCTGATCATCAGTGATGAAGCAAACCTGGAATATCTGGCAATAGTTCATGTTTACTCCACAGAAGTAGAGAGTAGGTCATTGTTTTTTTCCTGGGAAATACCAGTACATTTCAAAGCTTATTTTCTGTGGAGTTTGCTGCTGCTGCATTGGCTCAGACATAAGGTGTATTTTCATTAGACCTTACAGCTCCTGTACCCCGTGGTTGTGTAACTGACCCTCTCAGGCAGAGGGGCTGCAGGATTCAGTCAGGTGCTGGACGGGGCAAGCTCACATGGTGTCCCTGCCCAGAGACAGGGCCCAGTTTTACTTTCAGTACTGCAGCTGCCACAGACATTTGAAGAAAGCTTCATGCCCTCCTCCTTGTGCCTGCTTACAATGCCTCCTGCCATACAGCCTGCCAAGAAACAGTGAGGGGACACTGGGAACACCATCAAGGAAATGCCTGAGGCAGAGCTACTGAAGCAGGTGCTCCCTGCAGCTCCCTCTGGGGCTGGCAGTGCGTGTCACAGCTCAACTGCAGGTTCCCTTTCTTAGCAAGTGATGCATCACTATACATATAAAAATCAGTTTTCAAGTACCAGGGGTTTATTTACTCATTTATTTCGAAAGGCTTACTCTCCCAATCTGTTAGGGTGTGTTTTCAGTGTCAGCAAGAGATAGAAGGACCAACGCAACCTGGTTTCTCCTCTGAAGGCTACCTACAAGCTTCAGACCTGGAAATCCCAGAGGTACCAACCCCTGAATCAAGACAGCTATTACCATGATGTTGATACTCTTTATTAGTTTAAAAAAACCCACAACTAATGAATGTCTGAAATAAAGCTTACTAGTAATTCTAACACAGTACCTCCTCTTGAACTAACTCGCTGGGTTAATGAATCACACTGCTACCTATTAAAGGCAAAAGCTTGCAAAACTGACATCCAGTTTCATCAGCTTTGGCCACAACAGCCTCTTTCAAGTTCAGGCAGTTTCCAAAGCCGAGACAAGATGCAGTTCATGCTCTAAGGAAGTGGCAAATCCAGACAGTAGAGGTCACCTCACTTGCACTGCAATCTGGTAATCCCAGGATGGATTCTGAGAAACAGAAAGACACAGCTCAGCATCCCAGACAGGACCATTAACTCACCATCACAGACATGTACAGCAGAAACTGTACATGTCCTCCACTCCTCCTCCAACCTGCCAGCGTTTGTCCCTCCTACCCATCAGCTGCTCCATCCTGAGCCTGGTGTCAGCTGCATACCTGTTGAAGGTGTGCTGAGTCCCACTGAGGATATTAAACAGTATTTTGCCCAACTACAAACCCTTGAGAGCCACCACTGGTTTCCCCTTGGAAACTGAGCCATTGGCTTTATCTCTTTGGATGTAGTCATCCAGCCAGTTCTTCATTCATCTAACAGTGCATCTGGCAAAGCCACATCTTTCCAACTTAGTGGCCACAATGTTGTGGGGGATCGTAACAACAGTAGGCCTGGGTGAAAATAAGCACAGACTGGGGATACGGCTCTTTGAATAGCAAGGCACTAAATTCCATGGCAAAAGAGGCTCATTCCAATCATGTATATTTTCCTTAAAAGCAACAAGGGAAGCTGTTTTGGTTAAAGCTCTTGAAATTAAGATAAAGCTTCAGAACCTTTTAAACTTGCTAGGCAGTACCATCTCCCCCTGCCCACCAACCCACTGCTTTGATTTTCAAACGAAACACTGCCTCTAAAGTTGATCTGAAACAAAGGAGCTTTTCAAATTCACATAAAAATTGTCTTGGGTTCTACTCAGTATATCAAGAGCCCAGAAAGAAGAAAATAACACACTGCACTGATACAACACCCTTACAAGTTCATAGAAAAGAAAATGAAGTATAGGCTGGGCTGTACAAAGGCGATCAGGAAATGTGAAAGTTAAGAGGAATCACAAGTCTTATGCACTGGGTTTGCATCATTATTTCACAGTTATATGACTGACACTGTTTAAGAATCCTATTTTCATTGTCTTTTATAACTGACATTTTTGCTTCCTGAAGTTCACTGTGAAGTAGAATCATACTCCAATTCTACTCTGCGATGCCAGGCACTTCAGGACTCTTTCTGGTACCCAGTTGTGCTACTGATGAGCAATGCAGTTCAGCAGTGAGTTGGAAAAGGTTTCTCATCTCTTAAGACTGTTTGTAAATTACACATGTAAATACTTTGTTCTAACTCAATGGTTCTGTTTTTTCGTGTATCTGAACATCACTTGCCCGGTGCAATTGTTCTTACACTCCAGAAGTGTCCATTGGTACTGTCCTTGTTCTCACAGGCTGCTCTGCTTACCTCCTACTTAAATTTTATCTAAAAATCAAAGTAGCTGCATCCCTCCAATCACAGGGAAAGGTCTGTATTTTAACATCTTTACAGAACTCTAATGCTGCTTAATTACATGGCAATGGAAACCATAACACAATATAATACATACAATTAGATGTAAGGTAAGGCTGTAGTTGGCAGTATGACTCAGCACTGCAAAGAGGAACAGTGTGCTGTTGGAGCAAGCTGCTTCTTTTTCTATGGCAAATACCACCCAAACAAGGAACACAGAATCCCAGGCCTGCAAATATCAGTGTTTGCCATAAGACACCAGAAGACCAGAGACACAGCTGCATGGGATCACTGAAACCAAAGTATTCTACAGTCCATGCACATGAAAACATCCTATGAAAGGTACTTACAGTGCCCTCAACCTCTGAATATAGTCCTGACCAAAAGCTGAAGGTACTTTTGTCCAGCTGATACAGACGAGACTTCTCAAATGTTTCTGAGTCCATGATCTGTCCCAGCTCCTGTGGCACATGTGTGGTTGTTCTGTACACTCGTCTCTGAAAGATTGAACAAGAAACTTAAAGTCAACATCTAATAGTTTAAAGGAAATAAGTAAGATTTAGAAGTAACATATAACATGAACCCATGAGCCACCACAGAAAGTTTGGAAAAAAAAGAGAAAGCAACACACAAAGTAACAAATGTTCCTAAATTTCTGTTTTCTATCTTGTGCTAAATATAAAACTGAAGTATGATTATTATATTATAACCAGGAACTGAGTTGCTGCTTATTAACTTATTTAGAATAGTTCAAATACGGATCACACAAACTGATTTTTCCACAGGATGTAACTTAGGGCACCACAGTAATGACTGGGCAGAGTTTGAAACCAAACACATACATATCCTCTCCTGCAAACCACTCGACTTCCCCAGCGCACAGATCCTCACAGTGTGGCTGCTCAAACCAGGTGCTGCTTCATTCTTAGTAGAGAACTCATCACCCTAGAACTTGTAAAGATTAAGTCTTTTCCTGCTGCTGTCTTATTTCGTTTCAGTATATTTACTGAAAAGCTCCCACCCTTTGTCACTTCAAAACAGCCTCGCTCTGTCCAAGGCACCAGGCTGCAGAGTCCCGGCTCGCAGGGTCGCTCCTGCCCTCTGAGCTCCTCTGCAGGGATGGGTGCACGAAAATGCTCCGCATTCCTGGCCAGAGTGGCGCTGGAAAACCCGTGTCCCGCCGGAAAACCCGTGTCCCGCCGAGCCTGGCAAGGACTGGCCCTGCCCTGCCCAGCGGGCACGCTGAGGGTGGAGATACTGCTGGGAGGTGACAGCCGGGGCCTGACCGAAGGGACACTGCGTGCTGTATAATCTCACACTCTGCAGTAAGAAAAGGGGGTTGGGATGTGCCTTTTCCAGGGT